CCGGTTTTTACAGAAGTATCAAATACTGGTATACGTGGAAGTTAAACAAATTGTTGATTTTGGTTAGAAAAAAATGTTTAAAGTAATTCTTTACAAATTAACTCGAAATAAAGAGTCAATTTTTAATGGGCAAGATTGTTTGTCAGTGGACCTTGTGAAATTGCCTGCTCAGGATTGGTTTTCCAGGGGTTAAAATTAGAAGCCACATCGCTTTCAAAATAATGTAAGCTCACCAATGATTGGTTTTTTGAAAGAGCACGAGAAGGTGACTGCCTAGGGGTATATGTCAGATCATCATGCGTAGCGTTATTTATGATCTGATTTTAATGAGATTGTATTTGTTTCAGTCAGTCAGTTTACAGGAATTTCAAAGTTTCAAAGTATTGGCAATCACTGTTAATCACAAACCCGTGCCGCTTTTGTGACTGAGTAAAAACGGTATTGCACGACCGTGCATCTAATTTTGACGTAACGTCAATAACATTAAACAAACATTGCGTAATGTAGCGTTACTGCAGTACACTATAAGCGCGTTAATGAACTGAAGATTTTTATACTGTAAACAGTTCTTTATGGGAATGTTATACATGTAATTAGAATATTATATTCGTGTAACTTCATTAGTAAATTTCTTGAATAAGTTGAATAAAATTATATCATGCGAGTTTCGCAAGATTTAATAAATCAGTATTGAAACCATCTATATATTGAATATGCAAGACGCTGTACTCGTATTTATTACTTAACAATGATTAGTATCAGTTGAGAAAATTACTGTTTTTCTATCATGTATTACATTGTATATGCAATTAATGTACGTTGCCTCAAATCATGCGTGAACACAACAGAAAATTGTTCGTTTCAATTATGCAATAGATTATAGATTTTGTAAATTTTACATTATCTATACAATTGAAAACTTCTTCCAATAAACATTTTAAAGGTAAATAAATATCAAAAGAAAATAGAATTCAATATGAAAGGGCTTTTTAAGACTATAGAAAATCAAACATCGGGCTGTTGTGTAAAATGCCAATAAGAGAAACTTAACAAAACTTGTCTTAAAGCTCGGTAGTCCTTTTTTTATTTTACAATTCGATTTTTAAATATCCATTTACGCGTCTGAAAGATATACTTTGTAAACTTTTATATGCACATGAAGAAGTTCAATGTTTCATTTGAACATAAACCTTCAATAACTCTCAAGCACCTTGATCAAATATTTGTGTGAATGTTCTACTGTTATAAGAGTGCGACCATGAAGTTAACACAACGCAGGTCAGTAAATAACACTTAATAAAGTTTAAGTGTGATCGAGATAAAAGATACAAAAGATATAATTCATTTAAAAAAAAATTCAACTTTAACAAGATAAAAAATATACTGAATTTGCTTTTGACTAGATATGAAAGACGATGGTGTGTATAGAGAAGTGTGCAATAAATGAAAGCCCGATGGGGTCCTTGAACATATCTCACTAGAACATGTAACGCAATGCAAACACATAAATACGAAGAAGACAACAATGAAACTTTTGAAAATTGAAATTTGTCGTAAAGTATACTTAAATATTAATTACATGTAACTATTTTCAAGTTGTTTTAAAAAGAATTGTTTCAAAGTAATTAAATTATATAAACTTGTCATCTCTTAAAAAGTCTTAAAATGTAAAGCTTGATAAAAACATAATAAAGTTGTAGATTTTCTATTATGTTGTCTCCCTTTATTTTCCAAAATCTACAACTTTATTATGTTTTTATCAAGCTTTACATTTTAAGACTTTTTAAGAGATGACAAGTTTATATAATTTACAAATATTTCTTTCATGTACATAAAATAATTATTGTTAACAATTTTGAATCCATGTTTAAGACAAAATTGTTTATTTTCGTTATTTTCTACATTTAACAGAGACATATCAGCAAGACAATAATGATTGATACTTTCTCTAGATAGCTACCAATATGTTAGTTTATATTTATAGTTTAATATTAGTTTTAAATATTAGAATGTGAATGTACAAAATATATATGACATGTACACAATATGATGTTGCCATACTAATAAATGTATCATGATAAGATTTCAAGGGCATATAATATTAAACATTTGTTGGCTAGTTAGATGTTAATCATGTGAAGGTATTTCAAGTAGTTGGCAACAAACAAAAATTCAAAAAGTAAAGTTTTAGATGTATTTAGACAGAGACTGTAAAAAAATATTTACAACTTTGAAACATTAAATTAGAAAACTCGACAAGAGCCTAGATGTAAAGGCAATTTTGATTTTTTAGATATCAGTCATTTTCAAACAGTGTTAATATCACACAACGCATAAAAGCGTTAAAATGACTGGGAGTATCAGCATATTAGGTATATGACATACGACATATTAAATTGTAATTGTCCAAACAAAATATAGGCTTTATAATACTATACTTTAACTTGAACCAGGATATGTCAGTCAACAATGATATAAAAATGCGACCGCAAATCCTAGTGTCTAATTAACCGTACGTAACTCTATTTTTTATGCAAAATAGTGTAATCGCTTTTCTTGAAATGTCATCCTTAGATCCTAAAATAAGTCTATAAAATATAATTAGAAAAGTAAAGGTTAATAAGGGTTTTTCTGGAAAGTACCATAAAAATAAGAAGAGAGCTTATTAGATTAAGTATCACACCGAAATAAGGTTAAAGTTATCCTAAAAATATATATTTTTATATTAAAAGAAATAGAGTATAAAGAATAAATTTTTGCAAAATTTTCCTCCTTCCTTTTTACGTTTGGATCTTTTGTATCAGGTTGAATAATGATAACGCATTGAATGAAATATATTCATTCTATTGCATACTGTATTTAAATAACTCAACCTTGCTAGTTTAACAACCAGTACAATATACTTACTGTACAATGTGTAATAACATCCCTTTACCGATTATCGTGTCCAAAATTTGATATTTTCTCTTTGAAATTTACTAAATACGTATTAAATTTGATATATTACACACCTAAACTTCTTAATACAAAACATTTCATTGAATTATCATGACAAAAGGGTATATCAATGAAAACTGTATATGTCAGATATATATGTCAGATGTTGCAATAAACATTTTAACAAATTAATGTAGTTTGTATGCACTGATGTACATATGATGATCGGTACAACAGCATTTTACTGCTGTAAATACTGTAATAAATTCTATTGTAAGGCCTTGCTACATCTCTAAAGCACTCGTATTAAGTTTGTTTTCTTTAAAGAACAAATGCTGCGAACAAGTTGAAAACATTTTGATATCAAATACATGTATGGCGGATGATGAATAAAAGTAAAAGGGAAATTATAAATAAAAAGAGCGCGCCCGACAAAACCAACGTAAAAAGCGTTTGGGGGACCCGCAGGGGGTCCAGACCAAAACCTGGGGCATCCCCGCAGTCTGATCAAAGGGGTAATTTAAATTTTTTCTACTTTTTTAAAAAGGGTTTTGGGAAGCGAAAAAGGCATGGATCCTGATCAGAAATGCGGGAAAGGGGCAGACCCGGCTAGATCCATGGTGGGCGCAAAAACACAATGTTTTGGTTTTTTTGTTTACGCGGCCCCAAATATATTTGGAAAGTAACCGGATCATAACCCCCACGCTTTCGCATCACATGGTTTTTCCGTTCAAAAAATCTAAACATTTCCCCAAAAAATTCTTTTATAAAATTTCCATCCATTACTCTTCCATCACTTTAATGAAAACGATTTTTAATTACCTATTGATTCGTTGTTTATTTAAATATGTCCAATTTCCGTCGGCTGCACAATGAAATACATTCCTGTCACAAGGAAACCTTTATAGCCAGTGTTACAGGTAACCGTAATAAAATCTTCATAGAACGTTGATGTATGCATACTCTATCATTCCAATTTTCAAGAGATGCAGGAGAACCACAATCTGAAAAATAAAATTCCTAAATTGCCCTAATCAGAGACTTACCGTGTTTGTAGTTCTTATATTTTCTGTCAGTTCTATCTAGTCAGTTTGGTGCAAAAATTTTAGCAGGAGCACTAAATGTAGTTTTAACTTACTCTCTTTTTTATATTAATTTAAGGACTTAGAAAAACGTACGTTTTTTTTTCATAAGAATGTCTTCTCGACAAACGCGCTTAAAAGATTAATATATCTATAGATACACATTTGATAAAAACAATTTTTGACGTAAACTAGACAGCTAAATATTTCAAATTGATTAGAAATAATGAAATAATGGTACAAAAATCGAAAAAGACACAAGGGGTTTCCTCTGATGTCATTTAGATTTCACTTTAAAAAAAAAAAGAATTGTGTTCAACAATTATTGAGTAATTTATTTTATGTCTGCAAAAGAATATAATGCTCTACATGAAAAGGAACATATTGTTTATCACTGGTCTATGTCATCTTACAAAAGATCATGCAAACCAATTTTAATTTATGAATTTCCCAATATAAGTAAGAATAGATGTCTTAACGATTAAATAACTGCCAAGATATCGAAACTGGATAGCAAGGCAGGTGTGATATCAATATGTCACCGTTTTTTGTGTAAAAAGTCTTCCACAGCTCTTCTTACTTTGTAAACAAACCCAAAAAACTAGCCAGTGGGGTGATTTAAAATTACGTCAAAAATCTCAAAAAAAGACTAAAAGGGCATTGCCACCCCCCTCCGGTACCTGCAAAGGGAAAAGGGGAAAAATCAGTGCAAAGGGTGTCGGAATTTGATGATCCAATGATTTCCCCAATATTTTTTTCTTTCGCCCTCAATAAACTCTAAATTATTCCCAAAGGTATAATTTTTTAGATTTTAAAACCTTTCTAGTTTTCTTTTACGGACTTGTGGTAAAAACCCTTTTATTTTAAAATTATATCCCCCGCTTTTTTTTTTGAATAGAAACCCAAATAAAAAAAAACAAAACAATAAACACTTGATTTTTCTTAAAATAGATATTACTTTAAAAAAATTTTAATAGATACCTATTCGGTAACACCGCGGCATTTCTGTCCAAGACCCATTTGTTTGACATATGATAAACGGAGTACCATGTAGAATATACCCGTCGTCAACACATATTATCGATATATTTGACAGGTAGGTCCTTCTATCATAGCTCAGTTGACTTCTTATTGGCGGATTGTCACAACCTATTGGAATTATATAATGCCGTATTAAAACGTGTATGCACTGATTTGGCTGATTCACTCTACATCAAAACTTTAAAGGATCCAAACTGATGTCAAAATGCCTAAATCCACAAAACTTAAAAATCATTTTAAACGGGTAAACATAAAAAATATGATTAACAAATACAAAAATGTACGTTGAAACTTAAATTTAAGAGCGATTGATAATTGGATTTGAAAACGTTAAAAAACGTTCATTTTCAGGTCATTTTTAACAATAAAAATAATTATTTCTGAAATGTTGCATGTAATTTATTTTATTATTAGAATTTCATTAATTTATCACCTTGTACACAAACTGGAGTAGAAGACCATTGCCCGTCATCCTGGCAGTAAATTGTGAAATTGTTTTCGTCTATAAGTGTATATCCTTGATCGCAAGAGATGTTTGCAAGTGACCCGTATGTTGTATTTTCAAACGATGTGATTCCATTTTCCGTCGTTGGATTGCTACAATCTGAAAGAAAGGTTAACAGATGTTTGTTTATAACCTAAATGTATAAAATATAATTGAGCCTCAAAGGATTGTGTTTTAATTGTAAACATTTTGTAAATTCTTTTGCACATAACACAATGGCTGTAAGTAACAGTAAATAAAGTATGCAGTATAGCATGAGTGAACTGGTGAGATTTCGCTCAGAACTTAATCGGGACAGGATTAAAAAAATTGTATTAATGAGCTGTAGGAGAAAGCGAGAGCTTTTTCTATGTACAAGATACAGTACGAATTTTTCTTCAAAAGTGTCTTCTTACAGACGTACAAGTAAGTCTGCTAGGATAAAAGATAAATTGTCCGAGGCGAAGCCGAGGATAATTTGTTGTTTGTGCTAGCAAACTGTCTTCTTTACGTCTGTAAGAAGACAGTTTTGAAGTAAATACGAATAATTGTATCTGGCTTATACGACGTTTGAGTGTAAAGAACAGTTAAATCTAAAAACACATTTAATTATGAATAGATCTTTTTAGATTTTATAGAATGTCATACGATATACAAAGTAAAGAAAGAGTTTTAGCATCATTCTGTTAGTTTCGTCAATGCTAAAATCAACAGTAACTATGTTCCTGGAAATGAACATACGATTTATTTGATTCATTTTTCGATGAACTGAATTTATTCTTAAGTTTGTCAGTTTCTATGGTGTCCTATTTGAGGCAGTTAAAATATCGCCTGTGACTAAAACTCTTGCTTACCCTCGACCATTCGAAAAATAGGGAAAGCTTTTGTAATTGTGAATTTTGACAGAACTATAGCCCCTTTGAACTTAGAAAATTCTACAATAATCAGGCTCTTGTTTTACTATCATGAATTGAGAATAGTCTAGCGCACTGGCTCTTGTTAATAGATAAGTAGCGAGATTTAACATTCTCTTTCAAAGAACTTTCACTTTAGACACGGGTACTGTAAGTAAGTTACAGTTCTCAAAAGAAACATGCGTAAATTAAATTAAGGTGGATTGCGAGGAGTTTACATTTTCATTCGCACGAGGATTAAAGTATAAGAAAGTATATGCATGAGACAAATTCAACGTTGAATGGCGTTGACTGGCGCGAAATGTTTCTTGCGAGCTACTTTATCTATAAAAATACAGAAAGGCGTGACAAGATTTTAGGAAAAAATTCTAAAACCATGCAAAGTTCAGATGTTTTCTTTCTGCAACAGACGCAAGAAGACACTTTTTGAATAGCTCTCCTGTGGGCATAGCCGTATAACTTTACAGAGTCGTTGTATAAGGATAAAAGAGAATCTCAAATTCTGACAACTGATTTTAATCAAAATTTTGATTAAAAAAAGCTTTATCCACTTGTGAAGGATCTCAACGGTACAAGGTTTGAAAATTCTTTGCCTCCTACACTAGTCTAAACATTTGCCAGTCATTTTATTGATAAAATCGCAAAAATTCAAGATTATTGAAAGACTATGATAATTTTAAACCCTGTCCTAGAGATGTCCCATCTTTCAATTGCTTTGTGAATCTAACAATGGACGAAATAAAAAAAAACTCGTTTATCAATTATACACAAAATCATGTAATATGATAAACAAGATCATCAAGGAAAGGCGGCGTTCAATGAACGCCACACTACCGGCAAAACTTTTAAAATTCTTTCTTAATGACCTATTACTTATTAGCACCCAGATTGTGAATCTTTCTCTGACGCAATGTGTATTCCCTGCCAAATGGAGGCAGGCAATAGTCAAACCTCTTTTAAAAGTTTCTTGTCTTGGAACTATCGGCCCGTCAGTAACTTTTTTTTTTATCAAAATTAATAGAGAGAGATGCACTCTACCGACTAAATGAGCGACGGCAATCGCCTTCCACATGTGCGAGTCTGTACTTTTTAGACTTATTAATGATATTATTTAATGGATGAAACACCAGGGAGTCACTGCTATAATTGCTATTGATCTGAGTGCTGAATTTGTCACTGTTGACTTGATGTTCTCCACTTCCAATATCGTATTTGTTTCTCCAGACTCGTACATAACATAAAAAAGATCGTGGACACCGAAATTCTTTATTCCGTTTTAACTGTTTCTATTATCATATTCTGAAACCATGCAAAGTTCAGATGTTTTCTTTCTGCTACATATTAATTACGTATGGACAAAGCAAACGCCTTTAAATATACGTTGGAAGTAAGACATCAAACATAAAATGTTTCAATTTACAAGGAATTAAGACAAATTCCTATTGTAATACTGCGAAATATATCAATAGTTTGGGAAGTATTGAAAACTAAAAAAAGTGCATGTTGGTTTTCATACTACTAGTTTGCTCTTTAGCGGTTCGGTGCTTGTTTAAATGGCAAATATTTTGTAAAAGATGATCGATCATAGATATTTGCAACCTGAGAACTGTGCCTTAACTTGAAACATAATGTCTATTGAAAACTGACTGTCATGTACAGATATAGATCATATATTTAGTTTGGCAAGATTTACATGTTGCGCACATACTTACTTATAAAATAAAACAGACATGGAGCTATTAAAAGGAATCGTAGACTTTGTACAAAACACAATATAAATACCATCGAACATCAGTATCGCTTCATTTTAGTTTGTCTATCTTACAGAGATTTTCATAATACCATTTTCATTGTTTATTACTTTATTTTATTTGTTAGTTGAATAACTAGCTTACAATATTTTTGGGGCATTTTTATCCTTTTTTGTTTCTATCTCTTATCAAAATATACATCAAAGCAACAAACGTCTCTGGACAGTATTTACACCCAAATCAAACACACACCATTCATAAACCATAACCGAACAATAGTCAGTTGGAATTCACTCTCTTAACGATGATGTTTTGTTGATGAACTTATTTATGAAGAACTTATTTATGAAGACAGCAAAAAAGCAGATATTCTGAACAAATATTTTACAAGTCAATCATCAATTAATGATTCTAACAAAGATATCCCTTTCTTATCGCAAACGTCAGCAAATGCTTGAGTCATTTACAGTATATCAATGTGAAGTAGAAAATGTAATTAAATGTTTAAAATATGGAAAAGCTTCAGGACATGATGGTGTGATATATGACTTCTAAAGGAATCGTTCGAACAGCTAAAAATGCCTCTTTGTGTATTGTTTAATTTTAGTTTACAACATTGTTATGTTCCATCTTTGCGGTATGTGCAGTGTATAAAAAGGAGATCCGTTAATTGTGTCATATTACAGGCCTGTTTCTCTTTTGTCAACAATAGAAAAGGTTCTCCTTCGAACGACTTGATTTTCTTTAGACCTGGCGGTGAAGGAAAACCTACGAAAGTGCAAGCATATATTTACAGTAGGGTCCTTACCTCAACAGACCCTAGAGACTGCTATGAGATACAAGGGAGTCCGAGAACCAGTCCCTAGCTCTTATTGAATAGATCCCTTGGTTCTTTTACATGCCCGGTGCAAAGCACTGATACATGCGAGGATTACCTGGGTTTCATACCAGTTAACCTCTAGGTAGGTGGGAAACACTGAAAGTGTCTCTGAAAAATCCCAAGGGTGTTACCCAGGATCGAACCCGGAACCTCAGGAGTGACAGTCAGTGGTCTAACCGACTGAGCTATGGCGCCACCTACTTATTCTTATTTCTCAAACGAACACACTTTTCTCACCCTTTTTCAATCCGGTTTCGTTTTATGTGATTTCATTGTAAATCAGATTGTTTCATTGTATGATACTTTTTCTAAAGCTCAAGATGAAGGTCTTGAAGAGCGAGTTGTGTTTTTATAAGAAAAGCTTTTGACAAATTGTGGCACAAGGGACTCTTACAAAACTTAATTATGCAGGAATTAAAGGACATCTTTTACTTGATTTTCTAATTATCTCTGATAGACAGCAACGTGTTGTATTACCTTGATGTTCCTCAAATCTTATAAAAATAGGGACTGGAGTTCCACAGGGATCTATATTAGGTCCTCTTTTATTTCTCAACTTCATGAATGATATTTTTACAGACATGAAATCTATCATAAATTTAATAGCAGTTAATGCTTGCTTTTCTACATGGTTGTGAATTTTACAAACGAAACAGCAACTCAAATGCAGTCAGGTATTGAAACAATATCACTGGGAAAACAATTGGCTAGTGCAATTCAATCCTAATAAGTCCAAAAATTATACAGACTTTTGTTAATTTATAACCAATTTAGAGAAGAACTTGATAACATTTATATCTTTCGTTCTAATCCTTTTCCACAGTGTATATATCTAAATTTGATATATGTAGTGTGTATCATCCGTAAAAAATATGTTTAAACTAACCGTTTATTCAAAATATCTTTTCACGTACACGTCTTAGATTTATACGAAAAAAATCTAAACACCTTGCTATCAAAAACTCTAAACAACTTATGATCAAACAAAAGAATAAAATTGCCACAAAATGAAGAACACAAAACGTATTATTTTACAACTCTAAGAATAATAAAGGAAGACGAATGTTTATTAATCATTTATACTGCAAGTTTCTCCTAATTAAAATATAGACAAGCATGCATGTTACGGCATGAAAATACAATGAAATTAAAAGTTAACATGATATAACACATCAACCAAAACACATGAGTGTAATAAACACAGTTAATAAAAATGATATTACACTAGTGTAAAAATAACACTTTGACGTGACGTCATTTGGGATATTATATGTTGACAGGTTATATGGTCGAATATAAACGGTTGTTTGCAATATAACCCTTGCCTGACGGTTCGGGTTATATTTACAAACAACCGTTTGTATAGGGCAATGTAACCTTCTTATTTTAGGTATGTGATGAATATAATATTGTATTCGTGTATATTCATTAAAAATTTATTGAACTCGTTGAATAAAACAATTTATAATCGCCAGCGTTTCGCTTAATATGATTTTATTCAAAGACAAAAATAAAAAGCAGGCAACATATTCTAAGGGTGATTAAACAGTATTCGAGTGAATTATACTGGATCCACCCGACTTGAAAAATACAAAATTTGAAATAGCTAAAAGTACCAAAAAAAAAAAAAAAACAGGCACTCATAACAATGATGTCGTGCTGAACGATCTTCAACACTTATAAGACTTCTTGATGCAATATTTTCTAAATAAGATGTCATTCCAAAACTGTCCTTTTCCGATTGATATAACGATAATACATCATTAGAATTTATACTAGTTCTCTATTCTTATACATATTCATCTGTCAATCTCTGCTTAAAAAAAAAACAGCAAAAAAATAAATAAATAAATTTGATTTACGCTTAGGCTCCAAAAAAAACCCCACAGTTTTTTCTAAAAGTCTAAAAGAATTCGTACATTTACAAAAGCGTTTGTACACCCTTTGTTTATATCAGATATACATGAATTAGCAATTGATTTTTTAACAATAATACTTGAACTTTTTTTATTCAAACCAACATTGAAAAGTATGTGTTTATATACAGCGGATATATTCCAAGTTCTCCGGACACAACTTTGTTACTAGTAGATTTTCTAACAACAATAATATTTCTACAAAATGTCATGGGAAAATTTTCTAACTTTTTTATTTGACTAACAATAACACATACTTCACTTACATACATTGGAAAATAGAACCAACCAAAGATTCATGTAACTGTAAGGCTATTTTTGGTTGCGTTTCAAATTTTGTCAAATTTGCCACTAAAATATTTAAGAGTTTTAAACCTTTACGATATAAAGTTTGAGTACTTAAGTTGAAATTGCCAGTAAAATTCAATGTGACTCCTTGACAATTAAAATCATTTACAACCTCTATATAGTCTTGACTATATAACCAGCACCCCTCCCCCTTAACGAAAACCTACTATTTTGGTTTTATTAGTATTAACTTTTAATTACAATTTATTCCATTATTCACGAAGTTTGTGTGTACTGGAGATCTGAAGAAATATCAGCAATAAATACCATATCACCAGCGAACAAACGTAAAATGAGGCAAATGAAGGGAAATTATCTCCGCTTGACGTAATCCAATCGAAATATTGAAAAGAACAAGAAAAGTAATGATGCAAAGTATCAAAGTGCGCCCAAGCAAGAAAGGCAGCATTGAAGATGAACTAGCAGACATATGATGACCAGATATTCTTATAAACTTTTCAATGGTTAATTGGGTTTTACCAGAAATGTATATCTGACGATAGACATTGTTCATCATGAATTTTGGTAGGCATGCTAGAGATTAGAATATTAAATGTTGTTTTTTTCCACAGGAACTTGAAATTATATCAATATTAACGATAATATTCAAAATATACAGGTTTATTATATCCAAAATACACCCCCTATATGGTATAAGTTTATTTATACTACATAGAGAGTATTATTGGATATCATCATTAACATTGGTTATTTGATAGAATTTCAAGTTCATGTGGTATTTTCGTTGGAACATAGTGGTCAAAATGAAGTAAGTCTGTTTATCGGTTTATTGGAGGGGGTCAATCTACTATTTTAATGAATTAGTTTACTTAAAAAACCTCGTCTGACCCACCTATGTATTTACATTCCTATTAATAAAACCCATAATAACTCATGTTGAAATTGCAGACGAACGTTTCTGTTGTTAAAATGTCACAATATTCGACAAATAAACATTCCGCTCAAAAAAGAAAAAAACAATTTCAAAATGATATAACAATTCGTAAAAATGGCATACTTATATTGTTTCTGTAGATTTATAAAGAGTGCAATGAATTGTTTGAATATGTTTGCATTTCATTTCCTTCAAAATTCTCCAGTTCGTTATCATTACCATAGCACGACACGAATGACCGTTTCGTTAAACTCAAACTACTTCTATAAATAGATTTTCGGACTTTCACAATGTTAAGGTCATCATTCTATTTATATGTACAGTAATAACACTGTGTAGTACAAAAAAGCAAGAGCGCGATTAATTAATGGATTAGATTATTTCATTTGAATATGTTTGCATTGCGAATTTATCCAGTTCACTATTCTTTGTACATATCGAGACCTTTCATTTTTGATAATCAAACAGCCTCATACCAATCGGAATGGTCGGCTATTATGAATGACGAAAAGGCCCGAGAAGTAGCAATTGCCCTTCCACAAAATCTGATTTCATTCCATAAGGGGCGTCGCGCTGCGTCGCGGACGCCAATGATTACCACAGGACCTTACAAATTATTTAATAAAAATGTACATACTTGTTATCTTTCTTAATAATTTACCATTCAACCCACATAATACAACTTTTTAAAGATAATCTATCACAAAGTGAATTCCTGTATATAGAATCAAAACAACGATTTTAATCAATAAATGCACAATACAATCATTTATTCTTGTTCAAATATTTTTCCGTTAAGGAATGTAATATAAGAACAGCATGCGTAGAAGAGCTACCTTTATAAAAACCAAACTGCACATCAGATATAATGTTAATTTTCATTATACCACTTAATTAGTATGCTAGTAAACAGTCTACTAAGATGACTCAATAAAGTTAATCCTCTGTAATGTCGTACATTTTCTTTATTTACTTTTTAATTAAATTGTATGATTTCTATAAAAATGACAGATGCTAAAGTATAGCCAAATAGCTGTGTTATAGGGTCAGATAAAATATCCCTTGCTTTGATTCCTTTAAGAGGTTATCTTTCCCAGTCGTTTTATTTATTTTAAGCATAAACATTACCTTAAGTACTTTCTGTAAAGTGAAATTTTCATCTACTTCTGAGAAAACAGGGTTAAAATCTTTAAAATCATGTACTTTATTTAATTTTTCTGCTCTATGATTAAAAAAAAAAGATTTATCTTAGAGAACATAGTTTAAATTTTTTTTGTAAAATCGTGGAAAGGTATTTCAAAGTTATTACTTCTTCAAGAAACATTATAAACCAAAAACATTTAACCAAAGTATCAATTTCACAAAATCCAATCAGCCACACAAAGCAGCTAAAAGTTTGCTTTTTCTTAAAAAGGGCGCTATCCACAAAACAGACAAAGTGCTGAAAGTGGTACATTCACCAACGCATAAATGCCCCAATCGAAATACGAAAACGAAAATATAGAGCACACTATGGCGATTGTGTAAATCAAAAAATCTTAAATGTTTTTATTTTATCTTAAAATATTATAGTCTTTTTATTATGATACATATTATTTTATAGTATCTTCCGTAAAAATCTATTTCAAATTTATAAAAAAAAACATTATTAAGTTATGTTTCAACTATTTATGCAAAATCATATTTTTATCTTGAACATGAATACATTTTTGATAATTGTATTCCATTATTTCTTCAAATTTAGCAAAACACCAATTACTTACCTATTGCATTTACTCCGTGATAGGCAAGACAAACAAAACATATTCCGATGACAACTTTCATTTTGTTTTTCTACTTAATTTTACAATGAGGAAGATAAAAAGATACCATTGGGTTTCAACTCAATGTCCCTGTATTAAAACTGATAGTTCAATTTAACACATGTCACACGCATACGATCAGTAGCTTTTAATGCATTATTCAAATAATATAATAACGACAGAATTACAAAACTGCTCTAATTTCATCTCTTAAAGATCAATCTCGACAGTCTTCAAATTGTGTAACAGATAACTTTTTTCTGTATATTGTACATTCAATTAAAGGACATTTAAACATCATCACTTTATTTGCATGATATATTATTAAAAAACTAATTAAGATTTACAACCAATGTATCCGTGTTCTGCTTATCTGTATATAAGCTATATCTCATCCTTTTACTGAAGATAGAACAATGTGTATTCTCATTTTATTGCTGTTTTAGTCGAATACTTTACCCCGTATAATGTGTACTTCGCTAGCGTTATCTCGGCGATCTCCTGTTGCGTGCATGAATAATTGCATTCATTTGCTTTGTGCGAGGGTTGGGACGATGCTTTGTTATTTGAATGCTGTGTTATGTTTCCTTATTTACTGATACCATTAATTCTGTTTACATTGTTAGACGTTTGCCTTGGTTGTTTTTTAAGCATTTATAACGTAACAAATGATGCGAAATATGATCCTTTACGATCATTTGTTGACTATCAACTGACAGTTACTAAAATTTTAAACGGTGTTAACTACAAATAAATACTGATTAGGGACTACGTGTATACGCAGCTGTTATTTTGTCTTCTCCCAATGAAAATACACACACACACACACACACACACACGCACACGCACACACACACACACACACACACACACACACACACAAGAAAAATTAAACAAAAGCAAATCGGTAAGGCAACAAGTTCTAACAAGATAACATTAGGCCACAATGCAACAACAATAACGCATTTTAATATATATTTTCTATTCTTATTATGTTTTCTTTTCATATGATATCTCATAAACACTTAAGCCGCAGGTTTTATCCATATCATCTTAAAAAATCTGCGCCAGTCGTGAGCAGCTTAATGATGTCATCCTAAGTAAATGTCGTCATTTTAAACTGACATGGTTGTGTTTCGAAGAATGAGTAATCAAGCACCGGTGAAAACATAATACAATCCATTCTTGCATATCAGACTAGCTGGTGTTTCCGTTAGTTTAACCGATACCGGAAATTTTAGCTGGTATACGTATGGAGAGGGGAGGTGCCAGATGAGTCATGTGCTTGTCTATGACATGCTTAGGATGACAAATTTCGCGTTATGATTTCATACGCATTTATATCTGTTAGGTTCGCTTTTTATTGATACAGCTGGTAAAACTTAATTATGTCAGACTATTCCTTTGATGATGTATATAAGCGTTTTATTAGTCCCCTAACGGTATAACCGGAAGAGACTATAGGTTAACCCTCCGTCCGTCTGTCTCTCGGTCAGTCCATCTGTCAGTCCGTACAAACTCAGAGGTACTTTGCATGAATTGGAGAACAATTTAGGTAACAGTAAATTCTCTTTAATCCTTTTCATTCCGTTCTTACTTGTGTGTCTTTTTTAAGCCTTGTGTGACTAAAATGGCTAAATAGAACAAAGGAAAAGTCACATAAGTACCATTTCGTAAGTACATTAGTCCGTCCGTCCAAAAAACTGGATCCCGTGATAACGCAAAAAGTACTAAAAATATTTTTATAACTTCATATATGGATAGATGGCAGTCTGAAAATTATGCACGTCTTTTTCTTTCTTTTTTTCTTCCTATGTTGAACATTTTTGTTGCTATGGCAACAAATATACTGAAAATATGGCAAATGCATCGCATAAACTGGATCCAATGAGAACGCAAAACGTACTGAAAATATTTTTATGAAACTTTGAATATGGAAATTATGCAGGTTTTTTATTCTTTTCTTCCTTTCTTCCTATGTTCAAAAATGTGGTTGCTATGGCAACAAATATGTTTAAATATGGCAAATTGAACAATATTTGTAATTACTCAAAAAGTGCTGAAAACATTTTTATAAAATTTAAAATATTGATAGAAGGCAGTATGGAGATTATACACATCATTTTGACTCTCATTATAGGGAGTATATTGCCATGCGTCGGCAACCTTGTCAAGGTCTCTGATTAAAGATTCAAGGTTTTTACGTTTTTTTCTTAAGGTATTTACTTCGAACTTCAATTATATGTTTATGATCATCTACCACATCATAAGTGACAAGGTTTACAACTGTAGCACAAAACTTCGCAGAATTACCCCCTTTGAACTTAGAATTTTCATAAAAAAATGTTTTGTTTCTTTAAAAATTCTTTATTTCTTAATGTATCTACTTGGTTTAAACATATTTTATTTTGAACATTTTGCACAAATAAAATTATAATACAATAATGTTTAACACAATACAATGCTGAAAAAGGATCAGATCCGAAAGCATAAAATGATTATAAAGGCCTTTTTCTAACATAGGATAAATTACTATCAATTAGATGGGTTTTGAAAATGTTTGAAATATTGAATAAGAAAACAAAACAATTATTAATACTAGTACGTTGAAGAAAGATGAAAATTAAAAATGTCAAGTTAACGACCTACGAAACAAACAATAACATATAGTAGGTGTTTATATATAAAATGAGTAGAAATATGGACTTATTAGATAAAACGCAATATTTGTCGTGTTAATACATGTTTTCAGTTTTAGACTTTCATAGCTTGAGATAAAAAACTTATAACGTTTTAAATAGTGGAAAAAAGAAAGAAATCGTTTGCTATCTCGGATATATATTTGAACAGCCTGAAATATTCTGATGTTGATGTCGTCACTTAACTTTGTGTCGCCGTTAATTAGTGTGCGGAGAGTTAAATTACAGTAATTTGAAAGTGTTTGGAAAAGGCTATCTATGATAGTAGTGTATTGTTTGATTCAAAGAAAAAAAAGATGGTTAGTTCCTGGAAGTCCACATTGGCATAGAGGTGTGTTTACAATATTTTATCTGAAAAGATGGAGGTTAACAGAACTACACTCTGTTCGTAGACTGCATGGTATTTTTGGCATTTTCTGATACCTGTATAGAAATTTTAATGTTCCAATTCAAAAGACACTTGAAAGAAGATAACGAAGGGGCATTTTGTATATCATCTGGTAGTTCATTCCATTCTCTGAGAGCTGAGAAAAGAAAAGCATTATTGTATAAAGAAGATCGTGTATGTATTCCTTGTATATCGTTCGAATTTCGAAAATTATAATGCAAGGTCTCACCTACAGAAGGACGGACAAGACTTGATAGGAAGTCAGGTGAGAGTCGATTTTTCATTTTATAAACAAGAATCAATTAATATTTCTTTCTCCTACGGTCAAGAGGTTCCCAAGAGACCTCTCGTTGGAGCTCATGAAGGGACACACTTTTAGTAGCACCAGAGACAATTCTTAAATTTTCATGTTGTATTTTATCGAGCTCATCTAAATTGTACAAAAGATTTATGATCAAGTTGAAATTTAAATTTGCGCATGATATGTATACGTTTCCAAGCCCTCTCCTTTACATGATTAATATGAATATGCCATGAACCATCGTCTGAAAAGTGTAAGTCTATGTGTTTGTGAGATGTCACTGCAGGTATTGTCTGGTTTTGCATTGACAGAGGTGGATGGAATGGTTTATCATTCAATCAAGGATGTTATATTTTCGATCCTTAAAGATCGTTCAGCACGACAATATTGTTGTGCTTGTGGTAATTTGGTTTTTTCATTGGCTATATTCTTGTTGGGTGGTTCCAGTATACCTAACTTGAATACTGTTGAATCACCCTTAGGATATGTGGTCTGATTTTTTAGAATTGTCTTCTGACGTATTATCTGTGATATGTAGGCTTCATACGTTGCCCCGTACTTCACTTCAGTGTTGTTATATTTATCTGGTCCTTCGGGATAATTGATGCCAGCACTATTAAGTTTTGTGCAGTACCGCTAAAGCCGGTCCTAGGGAGCGTGAGGGATGTTGCACGTTTTCAGTATCCCACATGTACAGACTCAATCAAACCGAGTCTGCAATTCTCTTGTAATTTTGTAGTGATTAATGATTCCGATAGAAGATTTTCATAACCTCTGATCCCCTTTCAAAATTCTATTTTATTTAGCTCCGCCCATTGTTTTCTCGTTAAGGGCAAACACATTTTTTACTCGAAGCCCATATGCCACTTTTCATGGAATGGCACAAATGTGTCACATTGAAGGTTCCATGATAACCGCCATATGAACAAATCTGCGGATGTTTCTAAATTCCAATTTTTTACAACCGAAGCCGGTGCTAGGGGACGTGGACGGTAACTTGCACTTTCCAATACCGTCCATGAACAGACTCAATCAAACCGAGCCTGCAACATTTTCAATTTTGTCGTTTTGTGCGTTCTTTAGGGATTCTTTATTTTTTCGGTATTTAAAATGTTTTACGTGTGATTAGCATGGTTTCAGATTTAGAAGGATTAAACTTACCATTTGTCATCCCATGAGGAAATTTTGTTTATGTCAGATTGAAGACTATCCGCCGCAGAATGTCTTGTAGCAAGGATTTCAAAATTTATTTATAATCAAAAGTTCTAAGTCAAACATATTAGAAAATAAGTTATAACTGCATACCAAAATTAAGTGAGTGCAAACTAACATTAAAAACGACACTGAAATGGTAGTCCACTCACTGAGTATTTATTAGATGTTTTTAACTAAATTACTAAAACGGTTATGAAATCTTTTATTAGCAGTACTTAAGTATATTTATTTAGTACAATACCATATGGTAGGTTAATTAAATGCTCGTATTTAATGCATCTCTCAACTATAAATGAATTCATACATATACGTTTTTAATGTAAGTTGTCACTCACTTAATTTTGGTACGCAGTTATTACTTATTTTCTAATATGTTAAACTTTTAACTTTTCATTAGGTTACAATACAAAAAAACAGGATGGTCAACGATCAAATACAGGATGGTATTGACGGCAAATAGATTCACAGAGGACCTAACAATGTCAATGATATAAATTAAGAAAAGATGGTGACACAGAATCGAGCCTTGAGATACTCCTGCGTTGATTACAGACCAATAAGATTTGGCGCCAGAAAGGACAACAGATTGTCCAGAAACCAGTCGAGGAGGGGTCATTGAAGACCGGCTACATTTAACTTTATCAGGAGACCCTTGTGCCACACTTAATCGAAGGCCTTGCTGGTGTCGAAAAAGACCTTCATCAAGGGCCTTACAGAAGGAGTTGTAAAGAAAGGTTAATTGGTTCACAGTTAAGTCGCCAAGTTTTAAACCAGATTAAAGGGGAGATATAAAGTCATTGTCATGGAGACATTATAAATACTAGTATATAC